CTACATACCTACATACCTACATACCTACATACCTACATACCTACGTACCTACATACCTACATACCTACATACCTACATACCTACATACCTACATACATACATACATACATACATACATACATGTGAAGGCCTACTGCCGAAGATGCAGACAAAGTGGACCTTCTGTTTCCCATGTACACCGCTGCTTGGCTGGGCTTTGAGGGCCGCAACCGGTGGACATCACCCAATCGTTTTGTGAAATCGTTCTAGGATTCGTGCTTGATCAGGATGTTGAGGCTCGGTCAAAGCCACTGCATCCATGTAATCACCCACGAACAAGAATGCGAGGCCCGAAAGCTTACAACCCTAAAGCCGTGAACTTCGCAGTGGATCTCATCAGCAGCCTCTCGCTGCTGCGAGATTGGCACTTTCGTCGTTGGTCTTACCCCCCCGCCCCACAGTGCTTGTCATGCTTTTCACAAGCGCTAGCACGCATAATTAAATCTTGCCTTGACCTGAGTGTTTGAGAAGACAGCAAACGCGTTCAGCCCCACTACTGGCGATGAGGTGTTGACAGCCCCTAAATCCTAAACCTAGGTCCCTGAGTCGTACCCTTTTGCCCTTTAAAGGGTACCCTTCTTGTAAAGGGGCTACTCAGGAACCAAGAAACCCTAAACAAGCCCTACCCCCTGGCCCCCCTGGCCCCCCCTGGCCCCCCCTAGACGCCTTTCCCTCGTCCCTGAAACATGAACCAGAGCCTCGACAACCCAAAGTCCAAAGCCCCAGCCATAGGCTTCAAGGCTACGGCCCTGCAGTCCACCCAATAAAAGGCACCTGATTAAGAAACCCTGGGTCTTTATTTGGGTTCTGTACTTGAATCCTAACATTTTTTTGCGGTTACAGGGCCAGGGTGTTTTTATTCAAGTTCCCACATGGGTAGCTCTCTACATTAGAGTCCCGTTTTAGGTCCCCTATATAGTGCGGCACCCTTATTAAAAAATAAACCACCAGGCCCAGTTTAGAAAACTACCCACAGCAGGTCCGAATCGATGTGCTACTGCAGATGGCGGTCGTCCGAGCACATGAAGAGCTGCTCGCTGAGGGTCACCTTACAGCGTACCAGGAGCGGTTTAGGGTTTAGGGTCCTTGCAAGTCTGTGGGTTTGCGGTTTAATGTAGAAGCCCGAAGAATTACCGATACCGGTTTCCTACGGGTTCCTTGCTTTTTTATACGAGAAGATACGCCGAAACCTGATTCTCATTCTGCAGGCCCCTGCACGAGGGGTCGTTGGAGATCTTCGGGTTCCGGGTTGCCGAACTCCCGACAGTAAACCTGAACCGTAAACCCTAAACCCTAAACTCTAAACCCTAAAAACCCAGACTCCTGTCCCTCAACCCTCAACCCTAAACGTCACGCACCCATCTTGGGAGTCGCTAGCAAAGGGTCTGGGGTGTAGAGGAGGGTTTAGGGTTTAGGGGTTTAGGGTTTATTTCAGTCACCAGCTGTGTTCTTCGGTTCATTGTCCAGGATCTCTCCGATCATAATCCTAATGTAGTATGCAGCATTCAGGAACCCGACTTTAATTCAATGAAAATACGCCTTAGACCCTAAGCCCTCAACATTGTGGTGGTGGTGGTGGTGGTGGTGGTGGTGGGGGGGGTGGTGGTGGTGGTGGTGGTGGTGGTGGTGGTGGTGGTAGTGGTGGTGGTGGTGGTGGTGGTGGTGGTGGTGGTCGTGGTGGTCGTGTTGGTGGTGTGGGTGTTGGTGTTGTTGTTGCTGCGGCTGCTGCCGGTGCTGGTTTGTTAGTGGTTTCGCAGGTGCTTGCTGTTGCTGTGATGTCTGTTGCTTGTGCTTCATGCAGCACCGGTTGCGTGTTTGGGGGTGCGTGTTTTCGGGTGTTGACGGCGGTGGTGGACCTGGTGGAATTGCTGCTCCTGCAGCTGCTGATGCTGCTTTTGTCGCTGATGATCTTGATACTTGTTCTTGCTAACTGTCCCTGTTGCGATGATCTAGAATCTTGTAGGTGGTGAGGATGGGATGGTGATTGAAACTGCAGGTGGATTCTGATGTCCATTGTACTTAGTCTGACCGCCCCCATCCCTGTCCTCATCCTTGCCTCCTTACGGAGCGGGATCTGCTAGGATGCTGTGTTCATCGGCTCCAAGCGCTTGACCGCGAAGAAGTCCAAGAAAGCCGTGCGTTATTGGCGCAGTGTCGGCTTGGGCTTCGCGACGCCGAAGGAAGCCAAGGAGGGGAGGCTTGGACAGCATCGCGGCGACCATGCGGGTTTGCGGCACTCCTATCGCCTGGTGCATGTGGAATTCTGCACTTCAGCTCTTAGTTTCGACCTGTGAGAAGTGGGGTGCCTGACATTGCCTGACCATGCGCAGATCCTCTGCAAAATCCAAGGAACTTCGTGGACAAGAAGTGCCCTTTCACCGGGCTCCTCGGCTGCAAACTTCGTCACGGCAAGTCCTCGATAAATCATCCACCTCCGGAACCAAAATGACTGGGTCTTTTCCGACAGATTTGAGACGCCCAAACCTCAAAAGTCAACAGTTCTTCAGCACGGAATATCTTCAAAGAATCTCGGAATGATTGACTCCAAAAAAGCCCCTACCTGAAGACGGTGACGACTTTGGCGAGGGCGACAGTGCTTGTTGGTGGTGGTGTGAACGTGATGTTTGCGATGTTGGTGTGATGAGAATTGTGATGAAGATGGTGGTAGCCACTGCTGGTGATGATGGTGATGGCGCTGGTCATGATGGTAATGGCTGTTGTGGTGGTGATGCAAGTGATAATGCTGGTTGGCGACGATTCTGTGGATGGTGATGTGATCAGGAGATATTGATGGCCGTGCTGCTGTTGTTGCTGTCGCCAACGATGGCGAAGAATAACAATGTCGAGTATAAAGATCGTGCTACTGGCTATTGGCTATTTCGTGGTGGGAATGTCGGTGATGCTGACAGCGACAGGTGATGATGATGATGATGATGATGTTGGTAATGATGATGATGATGATGATGTTGAGGTTGATGGTGATGATGATGTTGATGATGACGTTCGTAGGTGTTGTTGTCGTTGTTGCTTTCCATCCTGCTGACGGTGATGGTTTTTGGTATGATGATGGTGGACATTTCGACAAACTTTTGTGTGATGACGGCAGTGAAGGTGATGATGTTGATGCGGATGGCACTGGTTGTCGTAACGATGACGGTTATGTTGGTGATGAGGATGCTCAAGCTGAAGAAAATGAGATTGATGACTGTGGCTGTGTTGCTGCTGGTAGTTTTGGGTTGGAAGTTTCACTTCTGCTTTACAGAGATTCGCTCTGGTTAGAACTGTTGTCAATACGATGGTGGCCATGAAACCGAAATAATTTGAGAACGGAGAAGTCATCTGCCAGGAACGTCAGCATCCGCGGAGCCGTGCTGAAGGGCATGGTGATCTCAACCAAGATGAAGCGCACCATCGTGATCCGCCGGAACTACTTGCACTACATCAAGAAATTCAACCGTTTCTGGGCTTTGTAGTTTGGGCTGTGTTTGAGAGCCGAAACAAGTCGCAGAATCTCCATACAGTTCCAGTCAAAGTGGTGGCAATTAATTATTGCCCACAAAAGCAGCATCGAAAAGTACTGCCGGTGGCGGTTGCGGTGCGGTCAGGGCAGCAGCAGCAGCAGCAGTAGCAGTAGCAGACGTNNTGTACCAGCCCCCTGGAATGCAACAAGCGGAAAAAGGGGGTTGTGGGAAACCTGCTCCATCATGCTCCTAAATCCGAATGCAAGCTTTACTAAACCTTAACACCAGCCCTTTCCTGATGGAGACGCTTCAAAACTGCAACTGATAACATCGTACAAGACCTTAAACAGAATGTGTAAACTCTTCTAACACATGGCTATATAAAGCCTTCAAACTCGATCAAGCTGAACAACAAGCCCTCCAAAGTGTCCCCAGGAAGTTTCGATCACTCAACCTTCAAGCCAAACAGAGAAGAGCATGCCAAACTTCGACAAGAAAGCTCAAAAGCCTCCCCTCAATGCCTCAACGCATCAACCGCCCCCCCCCCCCCCCCCCCNNACCCTAATCCCTCAACCCTAAATCCCAGAAGCCTCAAACCCTAAACCCTACAACTCTAAACCCTATAACTCTACAACCCCAAAGCCCTAAAACCGCAAGTCCCTAGGCTTCGAGAAGCGCCACAGCAACCTGGCAGTCCACTGCTCGCCGGCCTTCGAGCCCAAGGAGCCGAGAATTGCTTAATTTGTAACAATAGACTATGTTATTATGTTATTATATTATTGTATTATTACCATTATTACATTGTTATATTATTATACTATGGAGTTGCGGTCTCTTTGGGGGGTTGTGTTTGGAGGGAATCTGAGGGTCTCAGAAGGGTTTCGTTGAGGGTTTGAGTGTTAGCAGGGTTTGCAGAATGTCAGAGTAAATCATGGGGTTTTGGTAGGGGTCGAAGGGTCCCAGAAGGGTTTTGTAGGATGTTGGAGGGTCTTTGGAAGCTTTATGGTGGTTGGTAACGAATTTCTGCAAGTCTAGAACGGGCTTCCGCAAGGGTTGGAGCGGCTGTTAGGGTGTATCATTCCTTTCGGGCTTAGGGCCTTCCTTGGGCATGAGTAGTGTAGGAGCCTGAAATGACCTAGCCTGTTGATCCTTCTTTATGGCCCCTCTTAGTTAAGCAGAGTATACCCCGGAATCTGCTCCCATTGCTTGGCTGCCGCAGAGTTTGTCGTCTCATTGATTACGTGCGCGAACCTTTTGGCCGATCGAAAGGAGGGCGACATCGTGACGGCGGGCCAGTGCCGACCACTGGCCAAGACCGTCCGCTTCAACGTCGTCAAGGCAAGCTTTAGGGCCTGGTTTTCAGGGCTATGCAGATGCGTGCGAGGCGCAGCCCTGTCTATTCGACCAGTGCGGCAGGTGGACAAGAACCAGATCTTCGGATCCGCACGAAAGCAGTTCGCCTTGTTCTGAGAAAGCGCATTTCCAATTGGAGAGGTAACGAAGAAGTCGAAAAAGGCCAAGTGCAGATCAGCTAGCTGCTGGCTGCTGTTGCTTTGTGCTTGTCTGCATGGATGGAGCCAAGGCTTGCAGGGCTGTCAGCTGTTGCGTTTGCTGACCAGGTACTAGTTACTAGTTACGAACATTGTCAGGACAAGCATGCTTATTATATCTTGCGCAAAACTCACGTGGCTCATAGCCTTTTGCTCCCAATCCCACGGTCTTCCATTGCTCGCACTCGGCGTGAGAGCCCCGGCCCAGCTCATCGATCGCGAGAGTATAGGGGATTTTGTATGGGTTTTCAGTGACAGTATTTGCTGAAAAGCCCAATTACAAAAAAGCCCTAAACCTTAAACCCAATAAAGCTTTGTTAGCCGTGCTTACGACGTTTCGGATTGGCGGCTCGACGTTCTGTGACAGGCGGGCCCAGTCTGCTGTAGCCGTTTGGGACCTGGGGTAGCGGTGGCCAGCGACGCTTGAAGCAGAGTCGGGCAGCTTCAGAAAGCCTCAACTTGAGCCTACACCCCAGGTCGATGCCCAAACCCCGGCCCCCCCCAAAGCCCTTCAGCCATAAAAACCGCTCGATCCAACTGGAGTGAGACACAAACCCTACAACCCCTAAATCGTTAAACGCAAAAGCCGTGCGAACGAACCCGTGGGAGGTAAACACCTAAAGCCAAAGCATCCTGCCAGATTCCAGGCACCGATAACAGCCTTGCTATAGTGTTGCTGTAGATTGCTATGGCTATTCGGCTATTCTTGATATTACTTGTTGAATAGTCATTTTTGCTTTTCCCTTCTCGTATCAGCGCTAAGGTTAAAGTACAATATATATATATATTATATGTATATATATATATACACATACACATACACATAAGTACATATGTATATATATATATATGTATTGTACGATTACCTTTCCGGTTATCTTTGCTCTTGTTATGAGGTCAGGTATGGTACTTTTTTGACAAAAACCCTTCGTCTTTTGCACCTGTTGCCCAAGTTTCATCTGATCTCAAGGTTTTTGGCCATGCGGGCACTCGTGGCCGTGAAACGGGTGGTGGACTATGCCGTGAAGGTCCTTGGCTGCAATCTTACCATGTCTCAGTTGCCGTTGTGTAGCCGCTCACCTCAGGTCCGTGTGAAGCCGGACAAAACCGGTATCGACTTGAACAACGTGAAGATGTCCATGAACCCGTTCTGTGAGGCCACCCCGCATCTTCACTTTGCCTTCGAGCTTAAGGCCTCATGTGCTGTGTACCTGGCAGATTGCGGTCGAGGAGGGATTGAGACTAAAAGAGCCGGATGCTCAGTGGCTGCAGTGGTTGCGGAGTGCCAGGTGTGAGCTAGATTGGCCGACAGAGGCTTTGCGGATCTTTCGGGCTTCTGAGGAAGGGGCACATCTCCGAGCTGATTGCAGTCTCCTGCGGGCCTGACAAGGTGAGCTTGCAGCTACTGGTAGGGTCCAGAGTTCAGTAGCTCAGTTGACCCGAATTAAAGATTCCGGAGCTCGCCGGGGGCACAGGTGCAACTGAGAATCTTGCGATTGCGGATGCAGTGTTTCGAAGCACAGGTGCAATGTCTGTCCTAGCTTGTTCTTGATTGTTGCTTGTACATAATACGTTGTGCTAGGCCTACTCAGGATCGATACAGGAAAGCCGCGGTTATGGATTCTTAATACGGTGCTGAAGGCCTCCGAGACCCTGCGACAAGCTCTGGCGATGGGTGCTGACCGAGCAGTCCATTTGAAGACGTGCGGTGCTCATCCGAAGATGCTGATGTAACTTCAAGCTACGAGTACCCAGCAGACACTAGTGAAGAGGCGGCAGCAGTCAGCAGATTGCCAAAGTTGGGGAGGTTTTGCCACTACTACTGCTGATGCTGCTACTACTACTCCTGCTGCTGCCGCTACTGCTGCTGCTGCTGCTGCTACTACTACTACTACTACTGCTACTACTACTGCTATTACTGCTGCTGCTACTACTACTACTGCTACTGCTGCAACTGCTACTACTACTACTACTACTACTACCACTCCTCTCCCTACTTCTACTACCTCTACTGCTACTACTGCTACTGCTACTGCTACTACTGCTACTACTGCGACTGCTGCTACTACTACTACTACCACCACCACCACCACCACTATTACTACTGTTCGTATCTTCTCCTGGCAGGGACATGCGGACGGACCAGGAGCTTCAGCCCCTTGCTGTCGCGAAACTACTGGCGAAAGTTGTGGAGAAGGCACCACGTGGGTGCCAAGTTACACCCAAAGCATCAAACAATAGTTAGTGTGAATAGTAACAGGGAGAACAGAATCAGACAAGCAGTAAACGAACAGTTACATCGAACGAAAGGGCGATGATTACAGTACCGACAATCGCGCTAGCATGTATATCGCTGTTTTACATCCTAGTCATCAATAGTCGTCATTGTGTTGCCGCCTTGTCGTTGTCTTGCGCAGGAAAGAGGTTCGGTCTGATAGTTCTACACATAGCAATGGCATTAACAAAAACATGAATAACAACATTCATGATAACATTAGTGATAACATTAATAATGGGAGTCTGATGAGCTAGGATGAGCCTACCACAAAGTTACGGTCATTGTGCCCAGAATGATGTCAACACTAGTGACTCCTCCCTAAACCTAGACCCTAAACTTCCAAGCAAAAAAGTTTTCGCTGCTGGTGGCTGGAAGCCTTGAAGCCCGGTCGTCGAGTGCGGCAGGAAACTCCGAGCGTAGTTCTGCTTGGGAAACAGGCCGGCGGCTGGCTTTGCTTGCGTTCCCTGCAGGGTTCAGGGTTAGAGGAATTGAGTTTTGTGGGTTGTAGCTGTAGACTCATTGAAACCGTCAATGCATTGGGGGGTCATGGTTTGATGTTAGGATTTGGAGTATGGTGTGGGACCAGAAAACCGTGAACTCTTTACCAAGCACCTCATTCTCGATAGCACTGAGCTCCTGCTAGACTTGTTCGCAGAAATGTTAAGCCCTACACCCGAAAACACTTGTAAGCCCCGTACCAAGTCATCCGTCCCCGCAAAATCCGGAAATGCCGGACCCCAAGCCCTAAACCTCGCCCTTATCAAACCCTTAAATAGCCCGTATACAGCGACACCCTTAAATAACTCCTACAGTGCCCCCCTACCGTAAAAAAAAGTCAGTAAAGCGCTCTGAGGCGATAGATGATGACAGTAACCAGACTGGTGCTCTCCTGGCTGGCCGCGGCTCCCAGACCTTCGGGTTTTTTGTTTTTGAGACTTGTTTCAGTTTAGGGTTTTAGGGTTTTAGGGTTTTAGGGTTTTAGGGTTTAGGGGTTTTAGGGTTTACGTTTGGGGATAGGCTCATTTTTCACACCTAGAGTTTCTGCAGGATTTTCGTTGTGTCTGGGCTTTCCATCGACGTTTCGAGGGTTGCTACGTGGCTAATCATGGTGTTCGAGCTTCATGTGGACATTTAGAGCGGGTCTATGGACATTTAGAGCGGGTCTCCGTAAGGTTTCGATGGTGTCTGCACTTTCTGCTGGCGTTTTTGGCTTTCTACTTGTGGTTTCTAGGGGTTTCAAATTGGTCTTGAGCCACTTACGTCTTCTAAGAGTTTCGGGTTTGCGGTTTGCTTGTTTCAGGCTCCGGTACCACGGTTTTAAGATTCGCCTGTGTCGGGTTTGCGGCTTAGGCGTTTGGGACTCGATTGCTTGGTGTTTTGGAAGCTTCTGTTTGGGGTTCGGATGTAGTATCTGGAGCAGCGGGCAAGCTACCATCACGTGACCTTAAGCTAGACGCTGTGATAATTCTAGGTTCAGGGCTAAAGGTCCGAAGTCACGACAAGACCCTGCGAGCTTGCAGCTTCCATTTAACTTCTTGGGCAGAGTTTGTTGCGATTTGTGGGCCCTCTCATCCAGTACTTCTAACCCTAAACCCTAAACCCTGTCATTCATGAATCAAACCCTCCACCGGAAATCCACAACCCTGAGAACCCTGCCCCCTCTGCAGGCTCTCAGGGCCTCAGCCCCCCAGAGAGCCCAATCCCCCTTAAATAGGGACTCGACCCTTAAATCATAATACTAAGGCCCCTATACTTCAAGGTATATATATATATATATATTCCTTAATTTCCTTATAGAGCCCATATAGAGACCCTTTAAGGAACCCTATAATTTAAGGTAGATTCCTGATTTACGGGATCTTGGGCTCTCAGGGCCCCAAAGCAGACCAGGCCTCCTGAAGTGGCCACAGGCGGGCTGCGCCTCCCAAGTGGAGGCTCAACAGTCAGAGCAGGGTTTAGGGTTTAGGGTTTAGGGTTTAGGGGGACCCTAAGCCCTATAGGGTTACTCCATGGTACCTAAAAAAGGAACAGCAGGGTGGGAGCTTAGTTTTCTTGACCCGTTCTGTCGCGCTTTGGGGTTCGTTGATGAAGGTTTGGATCAGAAGCCAGGTGGACGACGGGAAGACTGCACTCACAGTGGCCCGTGAGGCGCGCACATGCCACCATGATGAGCAGCAGCGACGACAGAAGATGTTGGACACTTTCTATGCTCCCGCCCCGGGCCCCGATAGTTGAGACCAAATGTTTTCGACATGCGACAAAAGACTCTTCTTCATGATTCACCATGTGCCAGGTGGATTCAGGCATCCAGGAAGTCAAGGTTCCTCTCCCCGCCGTCGCAGGGCCCTTACCCATGAGCCTGTGGATGGACCGCCTTGGACCCTCGACTCTATGTGACTCTCCTCTGACTATCGTGGCTTGGATCAACAGCGCGCAGTATCACAAGTAAGCAGCTGCAGTCTCTTACAGAGCCTCAACAGCAGCGCCACCACGTGGATGGCCACGTCTAGCACTTTTGTTTTGCTCATGACGCCCGGTCTCGCAGTCTTTTCATTATGATGGACCCGTGACGGCAACATCGTGATGACGACGATGATGATGATGATGATGCCGAGCTCTTGCAAGTGAGTAGGCCAGCATGCCTACGTTTCGTGGGCGGCATGCATTATCGCCGGTTTCTTGTCCGAGATCTTTGGGTCCAACACGCGAAACCCTGCCAGAGGCACTTATTTGCTAGGATGCGTTTGCACTCCATGGGTAGTGGCCGGGGCTCACCTTATTCTGAGCGACAAGTCAGCATGATTTTCCTTGCCAGCCACCATGGTCGGCTGAGTTCTTAGTGTACACAGCTCCCCGAAATCTTAGACACACTTCCGAAGGCCCAAAACCCCTGCAATTCGAGGCCCGTTGCTCCAAAGACCGTGCCTTCTGAGGTCACGGCAGACCTGCGCCTCAATGAGCCGCGCGCCAGCCTCAGGACTGGACTTCGGTAAGTCACGTTATCACAGAAACTATGGTCAGAACAGGGCATAGTTGGAAACGCAGCGCAATGATGACGTCGTAGCAAAAGAGCAATCACAATTCTGTGCACCCTCAAGTATCCCAGGAAGACGCAAGCACAAAATGAGCAGATTCCTCCTGGCCTCGCCACTGAATTGCAAACTCTGGAAGCCACGGCTCAGGCTATGCCACGCTGCCGAACCTCATGAAGGCTAAGAAGAAGCCCATGGAGGCCACTTTACACAATCAGAAGCGTTGTTTTAGTAGTGCGACAGAATGACAGAGCGACCAGGGGAATCGCTTGCGGCACTTGCGACTCTCAAGCTGAAGCCCCATGCAAACATTTTTTACCCGAGCCCCAGCCCTTGCTTAGGGTTTAGGGTTTAGGGTTTGGGATATGAGCGAAGCAATCTGTTTTTTTGACTGATTCATCTGCTGGGCGTTTCTGTTCGAGAGCTGTGCGTTGGCTCCGAGGGGCCTCTTTGTTTGTGTGCCACGGTGCACCAGAAGCCATGCCGAAGTGGGTCTCCCGGACAGAGACGGCAGTGCAACCGACAGTCGAGGCGGGAACTGGCACAGCAGCTACTGAGTTGGAACTAACCCTTATATTAAGTATTATATATATATGTATATATATATATGTATATACATACCATCTATTATGAACTTTATGTTATATATTATATATACTATAGTATATTTGCATATCGCACCGACGCGCAACAACGGAAGCAATCATCCCACCAACAAACACAGCCGTGAGAGCCTCCTGGTGTCGGCCAGCCTTGTCTTGATGTGTAACAGCCGTTGTCCCTTTTGTAAGTTTGAAAAAACCGAAGAACATTTTCGCGAGCCAGGAAGCCTTTCTGCTTTGCTGGGTTATTTGGTGGGTGGTAAGACAAGAGATGGTCGTGAAAACACACAAAATCGATTTGTTGTCGCACGGTTTAGGGTTAATTAGCGTTTGCGCTGTTAGTGTTGGCCTACGGCTAAGGTTTTTGCCACTTTGGGCATCGATTTCCGCTTTAGATCCACATGATCATTCTATCCCAATTTCTAGGCCTTGCAAGCCACGTGCCCAAAACAGAAGTCCGACACCCTAGCCTCAACCCTTAACCCCCTAAATCCTAACCCCTGAACCCTCAACCCTAAAACCCTAAACCCTCGGCCCTCAACCCTAAAGCCCAAAACCCTAACCCCTAAACCCCCAACCCTAAAGCCCCAAAACCCTAACCCCTAAACCCCCAACCCTGAAACCCAAAACCCCAAAACCCTGAGCCGGAGACTCCACAGGCTGAGCTCGCATTCGGTCACTACGCGCCGGCGCGATGCTGGCAGCGTAGCATCGGCGGAGGGCCCCTCATCGAGCCGTTTTGAATACAGGGCTTTAGAGGGGGTCCAGGACTTGGGGTATTGCAGTAAACT